ATGATTTTTGGGTGAACAATCCCTTCAACATCCTGTCTAGATAGGCAGCTCACTAGGTTTTGTAACACGGCTAGAGTTTCCATTCCCTCAGAGATTATAATGTAGCTTGTTGCTGCTCACGTCTGTATTGCAACATGTGCTGCAAACTTATGTTGAAACCCAGCTGGAGGCAAAGACATACAGTGTGACCCCGAGGGAGAGCGAGAAACTGAGAGAGGGTTTATTTAAGAACAAACAGTATGTTGCGGGGGAAAGGTGGAGCCACTGCTTTCATGAAAATGAAAATCAATAGTTTTCTTCCACAGTAACGCTCACTGAAAGTGAATTTATGAACATGTAAGTTTATAAGAGACAGAGAGAAGGAGAGAAAAGTACTGGGAAAGTTTTCTGTGTGTGCAAAAACTTTCTGGACAGAAAATGGAGTTTTATTTTATTATCTGTGAATATATATTCTGATTTTACTGGATGCTGTTTGAGTCTTTCTCAAGAAGTTTCTCTGTTTTTACTTCACTTTCTAGTTCTAAAACTGTGGAACAACAGAGGACTTGGTGGTGGGAAAATAAGATCCCGATATCTGGACAAGATGCCACAAAGGCAAAAGAGTGGATTAAAAGTATATAGATTAAAAAGAAGACGAAGAATATATAAAAAAAAAAAAAGGAAGCCAGACTAGGCCAGGCACTTAATAAGACCAGAGAGCGTGTTATTCTGTCACAGTATCTTAATATGATTTGGAGAGTGACCTGAATCTTTCATAACAAGAAGGGCTTGTTTAAAGAGGGTGTTTACTTAAGAATCTCTCTCCTTTTTCTATCTCTGAATCCTGTTTTTTTGTAAGATTAACATGACATACAGTATAACATTGCATTATCACTGCTAGTTAGGACACCCCACAAGCACGTTGAGAGACAGTAGAATAAAAAGGTTTTCTGCACTTTAAAAGTGTAACCTGCAATTGTTACCCTTCTATTTGACATTTCTATATTACATTTAATATTGTTGGTAATGTACAGTACCAAGTTTGGGGTCAGTACGATTTCTTTTCGAAAGTTGATACTTTTATTAAGCAAGTACGCTTGTTATTTTTAAAGATTTCTATATAATATAAAAGCTTTTTTTTTTTTTTTTTACTTTCTATTCATCAAAGAATCCTGAAGAAAATGTATCACAGTTTCCTCAAAAATACTAAGCAGCACAACTGTTTTCAAAAGTACTAAATCAGCATATTAGAATGATTTCTGAAGGAAGTCTGGAAATATATTAAATTGAAAAAAAAAAGATATAATAAATTTGATTAATATTTCACAACATTGCTGTTTTACAGTATTTTTAATCAATTAAATGCTTCTTCCAAAAACAAATAGCATACCAGCTCCAAGCTTTTAAACTGGTTGGCTCATTGATGTTAAATAATATTTTTGACTTAATTTAGATGAACCACTTTTTTTTTTCAGTGCGGATGGTCAAAATCACCCACCAAGTTATGGATTGAGTCTTTCTTTCAGTGTAAATATGTGGGATTTACAAAGTCTAAGGAAAAGTAATAAAGGTAAACTGTGTAAGGTAGCAGTAGAACTCTTTATTGTCCCTTCACAGGGCAATTTCTGCAGTATCAACATCTCACTCATGTCCGTAACACAGTCAGTGCAGGACATATTATGTCCCAAAGTTTATTACTTAAGGTCAGGGGTTTGTTCAAATCTCTAACACCTGAGCAATAGTACTAATAATTTGTAGTGTTTTGGGCAATATAAACAAGTCCACCACACAGTACCTACTTTCGGTCTTCAATCTGGGTGCAAAGTGAACGTCAGTGTTTGAGGACGGTGAGAAAGGAAAAGAACGAGGGTTAGAGGGTGTTTCAAAGGGGGAATAGAAAGCATTGTCTTTCATGGTCATGTCAAATCTAATTGGATTGTGGATTGCGTCCCAATCTGTGAAGTGCTGATAGTGGGCCGGAGGTTTGGTCGGGACAGGAAGAGGATGCTGCCACTCTTATGCTCTCATTTTGGATGAATAGATGAGTCGGTGGAAGGGATAGAAGGTAGAGAGGGATAATTCTGGATTCTTTGTAGATTTAGATCAATGTACAACATGATCTTTCAATGTCTGGCCTCTGTAATCTGGGTCAGAATCATTGTTTTTACCCGGAGACCCATATCTAACATGGATTCTCCATAAGCATCTTAGCTCAGTGACCTGCAGCCTATCCTGTGTGAATTGGAGCATAAGGAGTTTTTTTTCTTGTGTATTCTCTCTCTACTGTACTCTATTTTCAGCCTTTTTATCCCTCAATTAATTTCAGAACTGTTAATTCCACTTCATCATCACAGACAGTGAATTGGCACAAAGCGTCTGAGCCTGCGTCCATTATGTTCTACTAATCATCTATTGCAGAGAAGCGTGTCTCAGCTGTTAATATGTGTGTGCATCTACATCCTGTTGACATTGCTTTCTGGGAGTGAGATTAGTTTTCAAATCCTTTCCAGTTGTCCTGTCCATTATGTTAAACCCTGCTCCAGTTGATCTATATCCTTCCCAGTACTGCTGTCTATAAGCGTTTTCGACAAGAACTGAAATAGATTGTAATGTTACATAAATACTGGAGTATTATGCAAATATATGGTGTTAAATGATCTCTGATGTTTAGAAGGTATTTTCTGAGCATCAGGAAGTTGTGTATGTACAGAGACACTCAAGATTTTGTGTAACAATGCTCTTGTGAATCTTTTCACACCAACAGAGCTGCGTATTTTTTCTTTTTTGGTTGTAATTTACTCCCTAAACTTTCTGATCTAAATTTTCTTTTCCATACTATGAAAGCATTTAGTTAGTATGAATACTAAAAGAAAAACAAAACAAAACACCAGATTCGCAATTGTGTGTATTGAAATATTCGGTGTGAAAACTTTTCCAGTGGATAATTATTTATATTTCAATCTATCTGTCACACATATGGCTTCCAAAGATGTAAAATACAACACATGCAGTGTTAATGCAGTATTATTCTTATACTACCATAGTATTGATTAATATATTGAATTGGCTTTTATTTTTATATTTTCATTTTTCATTTTTATTTTAGCTTATGTTTTAGTCATTTTGCTACATGCTTTTGTATTTTTAGTTATTTTTTTAAAATTATTTTTAACTTCAAATTATTTTCCTTCTTTTCATCTAATATTTATATATAATTTTTAGTTTATACATTTTCAGATTTATTTCAATTAACAAAAACAATTCTTAATACTTTAAGAATTAATACCTTTTAATAAAAACGTTTTTTATTTTAGCTAACAACAACACTGAGCACATATAACATCCACTTCATTATTCATTCAATTTGATTCTTTGTAAAGAGCTTAACTGACAGGCGATCTGACCAATCATAACGCCGAATCCGCCATTTTGTCCGAAAAACAAATCAGACAGGAGAGTAGATTAACTTCTGTGGACATAAACTTGAAAAATATTGATGTCTTTCCACGGTTGAAATAAAATATGTTCTGATGTTCATTCATGTTTATTTCGTGCTTTAAGTAAATTTGAAAAGACGATCAGTTCACGTGCCGCTTGAACTGAGGCACTGCAGTGATCTGTCATGACACATTAAAGAGCCACAAAACGGTATTTATTGTTTATAACACAATTATTTTTTCACCTGACCTTACTGAGTATGCATTTGTATGTGTTTCCCTTTCAGATGCATTTACTGGTATTTGCGCAATCATTTAACACCCCCAAAAAGCATGTCTTTAAGCAGGCGGTAATTTGCACTGCTCTTGGTAAATTGCGCTGGTCATTATACGTCTGTGTTCTTTAATTTGCGTGTTGTCTGTAAATCACCTACAGAAATTTCCCCTCCTATCAGTGGTGTTTTGGAATTGCAGTATCGTGCTAATTACCCTGTTTAGTAAAACTGACATTGTCATTTTACTGTCATTTTACAAGGAAGCATTTGTCATGTATATATTTTTTGGATTTATGTCGTGTTTTCTGAACAAGTAAGTTGCTCTTTGTTTGGATACAGTGTATCAATTTAATTTGTCTCCTGTATAAATCATTGTCAATATCACATTCCACTCTCACTTTATATCATTCAAGAGCTTGTTCTTCCTACCACCCCCTCAAGCCGTCCCGCTTCGATCGTGTCAGACAGAGAATATACATGCGCTTCACATACAAAACTATTATCTGCTCGATTTCACATTTTCGATTCTCCTGGGTGACTTCACCCTGAAATCACACTGACAGCATAAAGTAGTGCTTGAGAGTATTGCAAATGTTGAAGCAGGTTTGGAGGGAGAGCGTTTTCAGTCTTTGTATGCCCCTCTCGTTAGCCCTCTGATGGAGGAGATGAGCTGAAGCACACTGGTGTCATGGTGCAAAGTGATTTTGAAGGAGAAGCAGCCATGTTGCATACACATGCACATGTTCTCCTCTCGCACTTGTCTTTGCAGCTCTGTTTTGCAGCGAGCCAGTCTCAGCCAAGGCAGAAGTTTTATTTAGAGACCTTCAGATCTGTCAGCTGATTGGTCCCAGTGGCCCTTTAAGACAGGGAGTTGCCATCTCACTCAGTCAAGAAGATAAGCTGGGTTGCACGCAGCCTCTGATGTGTTGCATCATTTTGGCTTTTGTTGGACTTCTCACATGCCTCTCAGATTTTTCAGCAGGGTTCCTGAACCTTCTTCAAGCTCTTCTTTTCTTTGCCTTGGTTGTATTTGAGCAAACCCTGCCAGTTATCTAATTTTGTCATATCCCACCACTCAATGTGCTCCATAACTGCTCTACATGTGTCACAATTAAAATGACGCCCATCGTCACACTATCTAAAAATATCTATAGTGCTGTTATCAGCCAATTTATAACCTCCATCCATCAACTGTAACTTATTTGTAGTGACAGAATCCATTTTTATGCCGTTTTACATTTTCACCTCGCTGTTTAAGTGTGCGTCAGCCCACTCAATGTGTATTTGTGTGTTTATTTTGTACTCGCAGTTGAGCGATGCATGAGTGTGATGCAGTCGGGGACTCAGATGGTGAAGCTGAAGAACGGTTCTAAAGGTCTGGTCCGGCTCTTCTATTTGGATGAACACCGTTCCTGCATCCGCTGGAGACCGTCTCGCAAGAGTGAGAAAGCCAAGAGTAAGTCAAACACACACAGATGTATGTAAACATAAGAATGTACACAGCTGAAAGATTTTGTTTAATATATGGAAATTATGATGCAGTTTTGTTATTGTTAACTAAAACTAAAATCATTAAAAATATTTTTTTTTATAACTTTTTATCACATAACTTTTTAATAATCTTTTTATAACTGAAATAGCTTACATAAGTTGAAATGCTAACAAAAATGAAGTCAAATAGAAATAAAACAAACAAAAACACATAAAAGCACATAACAAAATAACTAAATCTTAAAAAATGAAAACTGAAAATATAAAAGTAAAGTATATTCAAATAATAATATTGTCACACCCCTGGACTGTTTGTTGTGTTTTCTTTCCCCGTGTACTCTGTGGGACCTAGTTTCTGTCTCCCGTTCATTGTCATTTGGTTCAGGTGTGTCTAGTTAATTATCTTCATTTGCCAACCTACTTAATTTGTGTTCTGCTCACTGTTTTCTGTCTACTACGTCCCTACTATTTGCATTCATCTTCATCTTCTTTGTGCGTTTATCTCACCGTAGCGTTTTTGTTTAAAGTTTTTTCTTTTGGATTTTTTCTTATGGAGCTCACCGAGAGATTCGCCGCTCTGGCTCGGGGGAGCCAGGATTTGAGGATTTCGCAAGGGACTTCAGCTGTTTCGCCGTCACCAATGTCTTCTGCGGACATGCCTTATCTTCTCCCACCATCATCTTCCGTCTGTCCCATCACGACCACTGAGGTCGTGTTTGAATCATCTGCCTGCCCTGAACTCTCTGTCAGTCCTGTTTCGGCCATGGAGGCTGTTTGTGAACTATCTGTCTGCCCTGAACTATCTGCCAGTCCTGAAACGACCATGGAGGTCGTTCCCCTATCGCTGGCACGCCCGGTGCTGGGAGTGGCGTTGTGGTGTGTGTGGGCAGCACACACCGTTCCTAAACCCCCTGAACATTCTGAACTCCCGTCCAGCCTCCCTCTCCCACTTCCTCTATATCAGTCCTCACCATCGCCACCGCTGTCTCCATCGACGTCATGGCTGGAGGATCCCTTGTCTCCGCCTCCAGCTTCTGAGTCCCGGACACCACCTCGGCCCTTCGACCCAGCGGCTCCACCATGGCTCCTAGCTCCCTCCTCTCCACCATGGCCCGTCAGTCCACCAGCTCCGCCGGGCTCCATCGTCCCTCCGGCTCCGTCTTGGTCTATCGTCGACCATCCGCCGCCTCGGGACTCCACTCCTCCGGCTACACCTCGCTCCTCCGTCCCTCTGGCTCTGTCAGGCTCCTCCTTCCCTCTGGCTCTGGCGGCCTGGGTCCCGCCTGGCTCCTCCTGCTGCCTCCTGTCTCCTTCCTCCATCTGATCCGCCCTGGTCCCTTCTGTCCCCGTCCTGGCTCCTCCCTCCGTCATCTCCACCCTGGACTCTGTTTGTCGTCCTCCTCGAGGGTGTCCATCCTCCGGCCGAACCTCCACCTGTATTGTCTGCCTGCCTTCCTGCCAGCCCTTTGCCATCCCCTGTCACCATCCCATATCCACTGCTTTGTCCTTCTCCTAAGTCCCCCTCCGTCCCTCACTTTGTTGTTTCTGCGGCACGAGGTTGCGCCTTCCGGGAGGGGGGCGAACTGACACACCCCTGGACTGTTTGTTGTGTTTTCTTTCCCCATTTGCTCTGTGTGACCTAGTTTCTGTCTCCTGTTCATTGTCATTTGGTTCAGGTGTGTCTAGTTAATTATCTTCATTTGCCAACCTTCTTAAGTTGTGTTCTGTTCACTGTTTTCTGTCCGGTCTACTACGTCCCTACGTGTGCATCCTGCCTATCCGTCCTGTATCTACCGTCTTGTGGATTACTTACCCTTTGACGCGTACGATCACACCAGTGTGTTGGCTGGTCCCTGAAGTGTACGATCACACCGGTGTGATTAGAACGTTCAGTGCGTCACGTGATCAACTGCTGAATTCAAATCTGCTTTCCCGCTGGACTCTGTTTGTCGTCCTCCTCGAGGGTGTCCATCCTCCGGCCGAACCTCCACCTGTATTGTCTGCCTGCCTTCCTGCCAGCCCTTTGCCATCCCCTGTCACCATCCCATATCCACTGCTTTGTCCTTCTCCTAAGTCCCCCTCCGTCCCTCCCTTTGTTGTTTCTGCGGCACGAGGTTGCGCCTTCCGGGAGGGGGGCGAACTGTCACACCCCTGGACTGTTTGTTGTGTTTTCTTTCCCCATTTGCTCTGTGTGACCTAGTTTCTGTCTCCTGTTCATTGTCATTTGGTTCAGGTGTGTCTAGTTACTTATCTTCATTTGCCAACCTTCTTAAGTTGTGTTCTGTTCACTGTTTTCTGTCCGGTCTACTACGTCCCTACGTGTGCATCCTGCCTATCCGTCCTGTATCTACCGTCTTGTGGATTACTTACCCTTTGACGCGTACGATCACACCAGTGTGTTGGCTGGTCCCTGAAGTGTACGATCACACCGGTGTGATTAGAACGTTCAGTGCGTCACGTGATCAACTGCTGAATTCAAATCTGCTTTCCCGCTTTGGCTGGCGCGGAGCCAGATCGGACGCGCTGAGCGCTTGTTATTATCACAACTATTCAGTGTTTTCAACCATATAATACTAATTTTAGGTTTCAGACATTTAAATACACATAAGTACTAGCAATACCATACATTTATAGTTTGTAAAATACGCGCTGATGTCTATGGAAGCAGCAATAATGATCCTTACAAATATGATCTGATGACATGTTTTATTGATATCCTATGCAGATTGTGTAGATAAATATAAAGTTTAATCTGCTCTTCTCCCAGTTTACTGGAGACTTACTTCAATGTCTTTTGGGAGGAGTGGATAGATTTACGTGTTGTAAATCCCACAGCTCGGATTCAGCGCAAACTAATATGGCGGCGCCCATCACCCGGTATAGATCAACTAACACGGTCAATATAAAAGTGTTTAAACTACCAAATACATTTACTTGCACATATTTCAGAATCGGAATATCAGATATTTAATAATATAGTGAGTATGTTTGTGAATATTAATAATAAAAAAGGAAAAACGAAATAAAGGCGATCCATGTGTCATACAGCGCTATTGTGGCTGTGTTGTGTCACATTTCAAGCATGACGCGTCGCCATGGAAACAACAAGGCTATACATTCTAAAATAATGGTCGCCTAAAAAAACTCACCCTGGGGGCTCAGCTAGAATATTTTAAACTCACGTGTGAAAGGGTTAAAGACTATTTGCATTCATCTTCTTCGTGCGTTTATCTCTCCGTAGCTGTGATAAATATATTCTATAATTAATAGTAGCCTATATACGTTTTAAAATATCACTGGGATGTGCAGTCATCTGAAAATAAACCTTGACAGAGTGATCAAGAATTTTATTTGCTGACAGACAACTAATTACTAAATAAATAAATTAACATATTTTGAAACATTGCTTTCAGTTAAAATGATCTTATGTGAGGAAAAATTAAGTGGAGTAGGAAAATGGAGTGAAATATTAAAAGGAAGCTAGCACATTTATTTAAGAACAAAAGTCAATTATAGAATTTAAATGGCAGTCATTAAAAAAAAAAAAAAGCAAATGTGCCACAGGATATTATTTATTTATGGATATTGCATAAAAATGCTGTATGGAACAAGGTGCAAATAAAATGTCCAAAATGTACATAAATAAACTACAAAAAATGCAATGCAAACACATTTACTAAATACATTTCATAGTTCATATTTTGCTCCAGTTTCCCCTAGAATTTTGTTCTCTTGAAAACGTGGAATAGTTGCAGTCTTTTTTTGCGATATTCAAAAATTTTTTTTTACATGTATTAAATTCCCTATTGATGGAAACATAGCTAGTAACAAATCAGAGTCAGAAACAATCTGCTTCCAATGTTCCACATCTGTGGTTTACTGATCTCTTTCTCTCTGTCACTTTCTTGATGTCTTTTTCTTGTTCGCTGGCTCTCCCTTTCTCTTTTCCTCCCTCTCTTTTAGTCTCTGTGTAATACTTGCTCTCTTCTGCTTCCCTATCAAAGAAGCCCATGTAGATTTTGATATTTTGAGTGTCTGAGCGCAGCTCCCCTCTCATACATAATGGCTGTGTATGAATCACAGGCCAGGGGCTTCCAGAAACACGCCGCTCTCTCACCATTTTTTTTTACATGTATTAAATTCCCTATTGATGGAAACATAGCTAGTAACAAATCAGAGTCAGAAACAATCTGCTTCCAATGTTCCACATCTGTGGTTTACTGATCTCTTTCTCTCTGTCACTTTCTTGATGTCTTTTTCTTGTTCGCTGGCTCTCCCTTTCTCTTTTCCTCCCTCTCTTTTAGTCTCTGTGTAATACTTGCTCTCTTCTGCTTCCCTATCAAAGAAGCCCATGTAGATTTTGATATTTTGAGTGTCTGAGCGCAGCTCCCCTCTCATACATAATGGCTGTGTATGAATCACAGGCCAGGGGCTTCCAGAAACACGCCGCTCTCTCACCATCTGTGTCTGCGCTCCACTCTGCTTGTTTGGGTGAAGTGAATTCTGCATAAGCGCTCCTTTTTTCCCTGGATGAGCTATTAGTGTGCTGGAAATAAATCCTGTTCACTCCTCTCCATATTCACTTTAGGCTTTTGTTAACGGAGCTGATCTGACCTAGCCTAGATGGGTGGATTATTACACAGTACGGTTAAAAAAAAGCTCAAGCGCCATTGTCCCCTCAATCTCACCCCCTTTCTCCTCACCTTCTCTCTATTTTGCCGCTGTCATGTTTGTTAACTGCTCTCATAAGATAAGCCTCTTTGTTAGTTAGCTGTTTGATAAGATTATTATCATAACAGGAAGTGTTAAAGATCTGTGTTCAAGGAGTAGCTCCCTCAGAAATTAAACGCATTTGTTCTGAGTTTGCACTGCACTGTCTTTAGGCAGAGCTAATAAAGGTCCGTGCAGCGTGCTTCACACAAGTAGCACTGTACCGCTGTTAGTGCGCTAAAGACAGCGCATATG